AAAAAAAAAAAAAAAAAAAAAAAAAAAATACTAATTCCATAAGAGTCTGATTATCCAAATTGAAAAGGATGGGCACAAAGGTTCAAAGTTCTACACCGGGACTCAGTCTTCACAAATTTCATGACATGAGGGACAAAGGAAAAAGACAGGTCCCACACTAAGTGTCCTGTAATTCTTTTTAATTTTTTTAATGTTTATTTTTGAAACAGAGAGGCAGACACAGAATCTGAAGCAAGCTCCAGGCTGTGAGCTGTCAGCACAGAGCCTGACATGGGGCTCAAACTCATGAACTGTGAGATCATGACCTGAGCCGAAGTCAGATGCTTAACCAACTGAGCTACCCAGGTGCCCCACGTGTCCTGTAATTCTTAACAGCAACAATGGAAGCCAGTAGATAATGGAGCAAAAAGTTGTCAGAATTTTAAGGGGAAATTATTCCAATCAGAATTCTATAGCCATTTTAACTCTCAAATGGGAGAGTTGCTTAAAGACACTATTAGATATTCAGGGCCTCCAAAATCTCTGTACTTTTCTAGGGAAACTACTAGAGGATGTTGTGGACTGAGATGACAGGGTAAACCCTGAAAGTGATCAAAGGATCTAAGGAAGAGGGGCTCCAACCCAAAAGGGGGGGTGAAGGAAACCCCAAGAATAAAGGTGAAAGATGTCGCAGAATGACAGAAGGCCCCCAGAGGTTCAGGAAGTTGAGTGACTACAGGATGCATTTCAATACGCTGCAGGGGTGGGGGGGGTGGTGCGGAGTGGTTCAGACAACTGGGGAATTAAGGGCTCAGTTAGGGCCAAATACAGAGAAAGTTAAGCAAGCATGAAAAGTAAAATTACTTATCTCATGGTTCCCATGAGAAAACACCAAAGAAAGAACTTTAGCGTGCTGTATGGCTCCTTTGAATATTACCCACAAGGTCATAATACATAGTAAAAATGGAACCAGCTGAAATTAGGATTTAACCGTTGGGAGACTGAAAGAGGAGATGTGTGCAGGTATGGGAGAAACAGCTGTAAGATGCAGGAGAGGTAAATATGTTGCAAGGTAGGAAGTCAATAGATAAAGCCTAACACCGAAAACTCAAGTAGCAAATCGAGCACGTTATCTAGAGGTAAGGAGTAACGAAGCAAAAGGGCCACCTAAAGTAGTTTAGAGTGGTTGCCAACTGAAGCACAGGGCATTTGGTAAAATGGGGGAAGGGACTGCAGGCTGTTGTAAAGAAATGTGCGTTTATATGTCACAAAATTCATCTTCTGGTGACTGATTCCATCAATTTGGACCAATTCATAGAATCCTCTATCTGCAACCACAGTCATGATAAGAAATAGTTCCATTACCAACACCCCCCCCAAATTCCCTTGTGCTGCCCCCTTTATTGTCAGTCTTCGCCCCCCTTCCCTAACCCTGGCACCCAAAGAACTGCCTTTCATCCCTCTGGCTTCGCCTTTTACAGAGTATCACTGTAGCCTTCTGAATGGAGCGCCTTCCACGTCTCATAATGGATTTGAGATTCAGCTACATTGTTGTACGTTTCCATTTTTTCTTACTGCTGAGTGGGACTGCTGTTTTTTAAAAAATAAGTATTGGATTTTTGGGCTTTTTGTCCACAGAGGAGAATTTTATTTAACATGTAAAAAAAGCAATAACCAGAAAAGAGACACTAAAACATCAATCTAAACATCGTTTCATTATTATTTCAAAATGCATTCACAAGTGAAATCAGGCTACAGGTGAAACACCCAATGCTTAGTAATCGTTTAACATGTTTTTGTTTATTTGGGGGTGGGTCTAGTAGCTAGGGTGACACAATCTGGGAAGCTCCAGCTGCAAAGGAGGTGACAATTGAGCATCTGCCTGACCACAGAGGGGGTCACTCATCCAACACCGATTTATTGAGTGCCTACTATGCGCCAGCCATGAGGGTGCTCTTCTGGAACTCAAATTCTTGTGGGATGTAGGGAGAGAGGAAGGAAGCAGACACGTGTGATGCCAGGTGGTAAGAAAGCCATTACAAAAATAATGGAGGGTCATGAAGACACAGATGGGGTGCAGGGGAGGGTACATTTGTGTTCAGGGAAGACCTTTCAGGAAAGTTGACCTTTGGTCAGGGGCATGAAGGAAGTGAGGGAATGAGCCACACGGACACTGTGAGCAGGGTGTTCTAGGTGGAGGGAAGAGTGAGCATCTGAAGTGGGGGGCATTGCAGCAGTACAGCTGGATGGGACCCAGGTACTGCTGGCGACCACAGTCTGGGTCTGGGCACTCCCTGGGAGGCAAGCTGCCTTGTGATGGGCACCATCCTGGGCACACAGTGGTGACCAGACAGATGAGACCAGAGAGCACCACACAGCCTGTGGGGAAACTGATTCAGCAGCAGGACGGGATTTTCTTTTTTTTTTTTTTTTTAAGATTTTTTTTTTTTTCAACGTTTATTTATTTTTGGAACAGAGAGAGACAGAGCATGAATGGGGGAGGGGCAGAGAGAGAGAGGGAGACACAGAATCGGAAACAGGCTCCAGGCTCTGAGCCATCAGCCCAGAGCCTGACGCGGGGCTGGAACTCACGGACCGCGAGATCGTGACCTGGCTGAAGCCGGACGCTTAACCGACTGCGCCACCCAGGCGCCCCCTTTTTTTTTTTTAAGATTTTTTTTGGGGATTTTCTATAATAACACATCCTCCTTCCCTCACATGCTCAGACCTTTCCACACATGGTATGCTCAGCTGAGGACCCAACGACCTGCTTCGGTGGGCAGCTCTGTCAGCTGTGTGAAGTGGGGTCACTATCCTTTTTCAACTCCTTAAGTGTGCCTTGGGGATTGTCACCACTTGGGGTTCCGTCAAAAGAGGGACCTTGAAAATTAC